TCTCTCTCTCTCTCTCTCTCTCTTCTCCCTCCTTCCTCCTCTTTCTTATCTTCTTCATCTTCGAATCTGAGAGTATGAGAGGTTATCAGTAGGGATTCAGGCTGGGGTTGTAACGGGCGCACTGCCCAGGATCTGATTCGACATTTCTGAGACAGACATTGTTTGGACATTCGGCAAGAGACTATTTTGGACTTCGTCATTGCGATCTTGGTCTACTCTCTCGCCTCCTCCCTCTTTCGTCTGTCCCTCCCCCATCTTTCATCCATGGTTTCTCCCCATGTGTGTGTACGAAGGAGGGACCTTCCTTCCATGATTGCGGTCCCTCCTCTCTCGCCCATGTGTGATGTGCGATGGATGTCAGGTCAGTCCCGATCAGATCAGATCTTCTCTTTGAAATCTTCCGCTGTGCCATTTGCGCCATCTTGTATGTATCGGAATGTACACTGCGTGTTGATGCTGCGCTGATTGTGCATTGTCCACTTCAGTCCTTTTCATCACATTGTGGATCCTTGGTATACTGCGCATTGCTCCCCTGAGCATGCGTCAGTTTTGGTATCGGAGCTGCAGATGTTAATTAGGACGAAGCTGATCTGACGTGCGCACGGGGACCACCCAAGATCGATTGGGTGAGTATCTACTGATCGATCAATCGATCCTGGATCGATTGGTTGATCCTGGATTGATTGATTGATTGATTGAGTATTAATGGATTGAGTATTGATTGATTGATTGATTGATTGATCGACTGATTGATTGATTGATTGATTGATTGATTGATTAGGTCATACTAACTAGTCCCCAAAATCGCGAAACTTGGACCCAACCGCCGAAATCGATTTTTTTTTCTCTGTTTTGGATTCGTTTTCCCGCTATTTCTTTCTTTCAACAATAGCGGAACAACTGAAGGTTCGTTTTTCCTTTCTTGGAACCCGAAACTTCGTTGCTGAAGATCCGAAATACTGCGATTTCCAATTATTTATTCCGCGAATTTTTTTTAATCCGACATTTCGAATTTTCTTCTTGTTTCTGAGATTCGAAATTTCGCGGCAGAGAAGTCCGAAATTTTTTTTGAAAAGTTTCGATTTTATGCCATAACGAAAATTCCCGTTATTCCGAAATTTTCTTGAAATTCGTTTTTCACTATCTCAAATTCGTTTTTCAATTCTTGAAATTCGTTTTTCACTTTCTGAAATTCGTGAAATTCGTTTTTCACTTTCTGAAATTCGTTTCATTTCCGAAATTATTTCTAAATTCGTTTTTCAACTTTCGAAAATTTTCTGAAATTTCGATTTTCAATTTCGAAAATTATTTCTGATATCGTTTTTCAAATTTCGAAATTATTTGAAATTCGTTTTTCACTTCCAAATTATTTCTGAAATTCGAAATCATTTCTGGAACTCATTTTTTCACTTCCGAAATTATTTCTGAAATTCAAAATTATTTCGGAAATTCTTTTTTCAAATTCCGACATTATTTCTGAAATTCGTTTTTCAACTTCGAAATTTTCTGGAATTCCGAAAATTCCTGAAAATCGTCTTTTTTCAATTTCGAAATTTTATTTTTCGGAAATTCTTCTTGATATTCCGGACATTGTTTTCCGGGAAACTCCTCTTACAACGCTTGTTTTCAAACTGCGTATACTCTCACTTAATATATTCCGAATTTTTTTGGAATTTTCTGGACCTGCGGAAATTGTTACTTTTTTTCTGTTTTCGCAGTTCAGCATCCCCATCATCTCCATTTACGATTGTGATTCATTTGCAGCCTAAAATTCGAATTTTTTTTCAAATTGACTGCTGAGGGGATATTTCGGGGGCCTGCCAAGCTTGCAAATTCGAATTTTTTTTCTTTTTTTCGAAATCACTGCAAGTTCCCAATTTTCTTTCTTGATTAGTGGCTCCATATCTGGGCGACCCATTTTGATTGCCCATCCCCCTTCTCCCCCCCCAACTCGTCAACCCTTCTCCGTCCTTCTTTCCTGCCCATTCACCTGCAGTTGCAGGCCAGGTAAGTCCTCGCTTCAGCAGGCCACGTCAGGGACCCGGCGCGCATGACCATACTTACTCGCTCGGAGACAGCAGCGATGGATCAGAAGGCAGGCGAGACTGACGAGGCCTACGAGGCACGGCTGGCGGCCATCTTGGCCGACACCAAGCAGCGAGCAGACGCAGCGGCAGCAGCACGGAAGAAGAAAGAAGCAGAGGCTGAGAGACTACGACGTCTGGCCGAAGAACAACGGCAGAGGCACGAGGAAGCAGCAGCCAGGGCCGCTGACGAAGAACGCATACGGCGACGGGAGATCATCTTCAGGGAGGAAAGTGCATTACATGCACAGGCCAAGGATTGGCAGAAGGAGGCCGAGAACGGTGATCCCGTTGACGTGGGGAGCAGAGTATCTCAACTGATCAACCGTGTCACGGACCTCCTCGCGACTTGCATCGCACAGCAGGAGGACATCTACTCCCTCGACCACACTAACAAGGCGCTGCAACAGTCGTCGGACCGCATGCTCAAGCGCATTCAGCAGCTGGAGCAGCAAGTCGCGAACGCCAGTGCCAACGTCGGCCCCTCCGACCTCGTCGACTGCGTCAACGTCTTGGAGATAGACGGGGGAACACTTAAGACTGGGGCACAGCAGCTGCAACAGCAAGTTTGCGCAGCAGCCGGCCCTGGCACAATGACACGCGAAAGCATTGTCAAGTTCGATGGGCTCCCGATATTCTGTGACGCATCGAAGAACGACCCCATCCAATGGTGGCGCCAGTTTGAACTCAAGCTGGAAATCCACCACGTCATCGACGCAAATCGGCACGCCTATCTGTACTCCCGCTCGGGAGGCGCGTGTCAATCATGGCTGGACAATATGTTGTCCACCCATGCATGTACAGTCACCGAGTTGCATAAGTACATCACCTGGACAGATCTCACGGCGGCATGGAAGAAGCGTTTCCAAGTTGAACCGCCCGAGCACAAGGCGATGGACAAGCTGCTGACGTTTTTGCAGAACAGCATGCCAAGCGGAGACTGGATATCCGAGTACCAGCGACTGGCAAGCACGCCCAAGTTGCCAATGAACTTCGACGGCATCAAACTCTACTTCATCAAGAGGTCGTGCCCAGTGCTGCAGAATGCGTTGACTCATGTCGCCGACGCCCTCACTACAAGTGAGGAACTTTTCAACAAGGCCGCGCAGATTATCGTGACGAATTTGGCAGCCCGGAATACGGGCCACTCGTCAAATGTCGGCCAGGGCGCGCATCAGCATCGGCCAAAAGTGGCTGTGGTCGCAGCGGCAACGACTAGCGACCCTTCTACTTCCAACAAGGCTGCTTCGTCTAATGAGGGAGACAGACTCGCAGCTGCCCAGAATGGTGGCCGGCCCGCCAAAGGACGAGGACGCGGCAAGCCAAAGACCAACACCAATACTTCTTTTGGGCCCGAGCAAGCAGCTCCAGCTCAAGGACCTTGGACAGCGTATGGCCTGACGGAGCGCGGGTATCGCGTCCGCACCAAGTACCGTTATTGTTTGTGGTGCAATTGCGGGGCCCACGAGACCGCGAACTGCCCCACGAAAGCCAAGGGCCCCGCTCAGTCGGGAAAGTGAGCTCCGCCGAGAGTGTTGCAACGGCACTCTCGACGCCTACGGAACCGGTTGCCGTTCGGGTAACGTCCCTCGGTTCCGGGGCACATGCGGACGTCGTAAGTCCTATTCTTCATTCTTTCGAGGACTATGCTGCCCGGCTCGTACCTTCGCTGGATTCACGAGCCCAAGGACAGGATGTATGTGCGGTCCCTTCAGCAGCATTGATTCGTCTTCAAGTGGACCTTCACGGGATTCAGCGTGCGTGTTCAACATTGAGGATTTGGGCCCGTTGACGCCCGAGGATTTTGCATGGCTTCCTCTCCCTTCCGCCGGCTGCTTACCGGAGCCGCAATGCGCAGCTCTTCGCGCTCATTTGCATACATACCTAGCCTTCTATGCACCACCAACTTCGCCTACGGAGGACGAGGTCGCGGTGGGGGACATCCTTGCGTACGTGAGCAAGGTGGCCCGCGAGTTTCGCACGCAGCGGTACGACGACAACAACGCACCGCTCCTTTATGTCCGCATCCAAATCGGGCAAGCGTCCTGCAGCGCTTTGCTGGATAGCGGCGCGACTCGCAACTTAATTAGCCAGTCCATGCAAAGGGCCGGCCTTGGACCACAAGTTCGAAGGAAGGCACACCCTACGACGATCAAGTTGGCGGACGGTCAAACGCAACAACTCCTTGATCGCTACATCGAAGCCGTCCCGGTTTATTTCGCACCTCATGCATGCGAACCGGTGACGTTCGACGTCTTGGACACGGACTTCGACATCATTTTGGGCATGCCTTGGCTTGCAAGTGCGGATCACACGGTCAACTTCCACCGGCGGATACTTACGTTTCGTGACGCGGTCGACGCCGAAGTACCGTGTACGATTCCTCCTCCGCACCCTTCGATCCGATGCCAAGTTGTAACCGCCAAGTCTTTTTGGGCCATGTGTGCTTACGAATGGACCGAAGAGATCGGCTTATGTTTTCTTCGAACCGTCGCGGTAGCCGACTCTCAACCTACGGACTTGTCTTCGGACCCACGGGTGGTGCGGTTGCTCGACGAATTTGCCGACGTCTTCGAGTCACCTACCGGCATGGTGCCGGATTGGCCAATCTCTCACGATCATTCTCGAGGCCGGTGTCGTGCCGCCGAAAGGTTGCATTTACCGCATGAGCGAGGAGGAACTTACAGTACTTCGCGCGCAGCTCGACGACTTGTTGGACAAAGGCTGGATCCGGCCTAGTAGCTCACCCTATGGTGCACCGGTTCTCTTCGTTTGGAAGAAGAACAAGGATCTTCGCCTATGCATCGACTACCGCAAGCTCAATGCGCAAACCGTCAAGAACGCGTGACCTCTTCCTCGTATTGACGACCTTCTGGAGCGCTTGGGCGGCGCAAAAATTTTTTCCAAACTGGATTTGAAGTCGGGATATCATCAAATCTCGATTCGACCGCAAGATCGCTACAAGACCGCGTTCAAGAGACGGTACGGGCACTTCGAGTGGGTTGTTATGCCTTTTGGACTGACCAACGCCCTGGCGACTTTTCAAGCGGCAATGACTAACGAGTTTCGCGCAATGTTGGACCGGTTCGTGCTGGTCTACTTGGACGACATCCTCGTCTATAGCCGGACCTTGGAGGAACATCTCGACCATCTTCGACGAGTGTTGGAGACGCTCCGGTGCGCCAAGTTCAAAGCCAACCGCGACAAGTGAGACTTCGTGCGTCAAGAGTTGTAATACTTGGGCCACTTCGTCACCCCACAACGCATCAGTCCGTTGTCAGACAAGATTCAAGCCGTCCAAGATTGGCCGGAGCCACGGAACGTCACGGACGTCCGATCATTTTTTGGCCTCGCCGGCTACTACCAACGTTTCATCAAAGGGTACTCGAAGATCGCGGCTCACTTAACCAACCTTCAATGCGAGGACCGGCCGTTTGACTTCGAGACGGACGCGCGAGAATCATTCTTGGCCCTCAAGGCCGCATTGATTTCCGCGGAGGTATTGCGGATATACGACCCGCTATTGCCAACGCGCGTCACCACGGACGCATCCGGCTATGGCATTGGTGCCGTCCTCGAGCAACATGACGGGGTGGATTGGCACCCGGTCGAATACTTCAGCAAGAAAGTGTCGGCCGTGCACTCCATCGACGATGCACCCGAGAAGGAACTTCTCGCCTTCGTCCACGCACTCAAGCGATGGCGGCACTTCCTCCTCGGCCGACGCCAGTTCCGATGGGTAACGGACAACAATCCGTTGGTGTTCTACAAGTCGCAAGACACCGTCAACAGCACCATTGCCCGTTGGATGGTCTTCATCTACCAATTCGACTTCTTTCCCGATCACATTCCGGGGAAGTCGAACCGCTTTGCGGATGCCTTTTCGCAGCGTCCGGACCACTGCACCGCGGTCTACTCAACCTTCGAGATCGAGGACGACTTGCGGGACAGCTTCATCCGCGGCATTCAAGCCGACCCCGGGTTTCGCGACAACTACGCAAATTGTTCCTCTCCCAATCCGGCGCCTTCGCACTATCGTATACAAGAGGGATACTTGCTTCTTCACTCGCGGGGGAAGGATCTTCTTTGTGTGCTGCAAGATTCACATTTGCGCACTCGGCTTCTTGGCGATTYCCACGACGCCCCCGCCACTGGACACTTTGGAGTCAATCGCACGATTGGCCGACTACGCGAGCGCTTTTGGTGGCCCGGCCTCCTTGACGACGTCTCGCGCTATTGCGAGTCATGCGAAGTTTGCCGACGTTGCAAACCTCGCAATCATCGTCCTTATGGGGAACTGCGACCATTGTCGGTCCCCTTGCGCCGAAGGGAAGCGATTGCCATGGATATCACCAGGCCGTTCCCCAAGCACAAGACGGGCGTCGATGGGATTCTCATGGTGGTTGAACGCCTCACCAAGTTTGCCTTGTTCTTGCCTTGCCGCTATCACGCCAAGGCACCGGAGTTGGCTGAGGTTCTCTACGCCGGTTGGATTCGAACCAAGGGTTACCCCAAGGAGATCGTTTGCGACTGTGACACTCGGTTCATGTCCGATTTTTGGTTGGCGCTCATCAAACGATGGGGCTCATCCCTCAAGCCAAGTTCGGCTCGCCACCCCCAAACCGATGGCCAAACGGAGAGGGCACATCAGATCGCACAGGTCCTCCTTCGAACTCTCATCCGTCCCGACCAGAAAGATTGGGTTGAGCGGTTGCCGGATGTCGAGTTGGCATACAACTCGTCCATCCATCCGGCTATCGGGATTTCGTCCTTTGAGTTCGAGCATGGCTCACCGGTCAATTCTCCGTTGGACACAATCCTTCCACGGACGGCTGAGAGCGACGACAACCTCCTCTTCATTCGTCGGATGCAAGAGCTTCTTGTCAAGGCACGTGACCAGATGGCACAGACGCAACAACGTATGCGCCAACAGGCCAACCGCCAGCGTTTTCCTTGTCCATTCCGCGTCGGCGACCTCGTATGGGTTTCCGCTGCAGAATTCAGCCTCGAACAAGACATCTCTCGCAAGCTCCTTCCGAAATGGATGGGGCCCTGGCCGATCGAGGCACCCGCTGGGGACGCACCCGAAGGACCTTCATTCGTCATTAATGTGCCCGCCCACTTGCCCGTCAACCCGGTCTTTCACTGTTCCAAGTTGGCCCTCTACACGCCAGCAGAACTTGATGACTTTCTCGGGCGACGATCGCAAGACCCACCCTCGATGGACGGTTTCCAAGAGGTTGGCGACATCATATCCCAGCGACGTTACGGCAACAGGCCGACTAAATTTTTGGTCCACTTCGCATATTGCACCCATAGAGCTGACCGATGGCTGACTCGTGTGGAACTTCAGGAAACAGCGCCCGATGCTCTCGCACGCTACGAACAGAAGTTGAAAGGCGAGCCGGCATCTTCAGCTCCACGGCGCACACGCGTCCAAGTACCGCCTTAAGATCGTCAGCTTCGCCCCCGACCGGCTTGACTTCATAAGGAGGGGGCGGTGTTGCATGCTGAGCCTGCACACGGGCCCCATTTGAGGGGCCCGACGGTTGCTGAGGGGCCCCCAGGCCGCGTACTGTCCAGCACGCGCCCTGAAGGCCCACGACAGCCCTCCAGGCCTTAGGCAGCACGTAGGTAGGTAGGTTTTCAATTTCTTACCCTTTTTTCTGTGTGTGTGTGTTGTCTTATTTTTGTCTGTTCAGGTGCCGTTTCGGACTTGCAGCCCAAGGCTGGACCTTGGGACCAAGTACACCGGAGGCAGGCCCGAAACGAGGCCAGGCGCATTTTGGCGCCAAACTGGCGTCATTTCGGTCCTGCAGGACCCAAGATAGCACCTTGGGCCAGATGCACCGGTAGACAGCCGTTTTTAGGCCAGGCGCATTTCTTCGCCACGTTGCAGCAGCAGCAGGGTCTGGACGTCCAGTAGGGACCCAGACCACCTGGGCCGTTCTAGGCCACACAGTACCAGGTAGGCCCAGTGGCCGTGCACTACATATAGATGGGCAGCAGCTGGGCAACGGACAGTTCGAGTGAGTCACTTTTGAGCGACACGCTGCTGGTTGGAGGCTGCGCTATGCTGCGCTAGGTAGAGGAGATAGGAGAGGGGGGAGGCCATACCTGCAGTCGGCGAGCTTACCTGGCACCATAGCCGGGCTCCACGCGGTACCTGCATAGAGCAACGGACGAAGTCAGTTCAAGTGACAGCTACCCGCAGGTGAGATAGCGAGGAGGGCTTCTCTCCCTCCTCCATCTCTCTCTCTCTCTCTCTCTCTCTCTCTCTCTCTCTCTCTCTCTCTCTCTCTCTCTCTCTCTCTCTCTNTGGAGGTATTGAGTGAGGCCTGGTTGGAGGAACGCCAAGCCAACTGGGGTCACGATGTGGCCCTGAATGCCATGCGGTCAGGGTTTCGAGAGTTTTCGCGCGATATGGTTACCCACGTTGGGGCCGAAGTTAGGCGGTTGAGAGATAACGTGGGGAAGTTCTATGAAGGCGCCATTGAGGGTGCCAAAGTAGTAGCCGATGCGGAAAGTGAGTCTAGACCCCGCAAACAGCCAGTCAAGTTTAAGTTCCCAGATGCCTACGGCGGGAAGCCTGAGGAGAATTTCGATAATTGGGAGGCTAGGGTAAACAGTTATGTTTACTTACAGCATATCGTACAGGACAATCATGTCCTTGTAGCCTTCCAAGCTCTCAAGGAGGAAGCAGCAAGTTTTGCTAGGTCCCTCGTGCGCGGGGCCGGTTGCGAGAACAACATGGTCGCTTATTCCAAAGTCACCCCCCTTCCTCAATACTTCAAGCTCCTCAGGGAGCGATTCGCTGATCTTCGCAGGGGCGTAAGAGCCTCTGACAAACTCCAAACCATCCACTCACGAGAGTAGAGGAGTGCCAAGGCACTCAAGGCCGTCATGGACGGCCTGGTGGCCGTCCCGGACCATGGGGTTACGGAGTCCCAACTGGTCCAACTTTTCTATCGTGCCATGCCAGAGCCCTTACGAGGGCATTTCTTTGACAAATCCCAACAGCCCACTATGACGTATGATGCGCTCAGTAGAGACTGTCTCTTATACACATCTAGATGTGTATAAGAGACAGCATGTGTGATGTGTGATGGATGTCGGGTCAGTCCACGTCAGATCAGATCTTCTCTTTGAAATCTTTCGTTGTGCCATTTGCGCCATCTTGTATGTATCGGAATGTACACTGCGTGTTGATGCTGCGCTGATCGTGCATTGTCCACTTCAGTCCTTTTCATCACATTGTGGATCCTTGGTATACTGCGCATTGCTCCCCTGAGCATGCGTCACGAAGTGGGCAGAGAGACGAAGCTTAGCCATAGCGATAGGGTAGAGGCGGCCATAGTCGCCATAGCTGTGGTCCACTGTACTGGCTAAGCTATATCACTGTGTGTGTGTGTGTGAGTGTTCAGAGAGACACGTGTGGGATATCCAGGGTGATCCACTGTATGCAAACAGAGAGTTGTATGGGCGCTATATCGCCATAGCCATTGGAGGTGAACTCGTATCTGGGTTGCCATATCTCTGAGTACTGAGTGCGTGCATGTCGCCAGTGTGCTGCGCTACTGTTTGCATGCATGTAAAGTGCGAATGAAAGCGAGTCTGATTGCATTGGTATCGGAGCTGGTACCCCCGCTGTTCCACGCGCTGCGTTGTGTGTCGCAGGGGATGATGCGCCATAGCTGAGGTGGCCGCCGAGAGAAGAAGTCCGCCATAGCGGACCTGGAGGTCAAAGAAGCCGCCGCACCAACCTGCAGAGAAGACCACAGCGAAGAAGAAGAGAGAA